AGAGAGAGAGAGAGAGAGAGAGAGAGAGAGAGAGAGAGAGAGAGAGAGAGAGAGAGAGAGAGAGAGAGAGAGAGAGAGAGAGAGAGATTTTGGTGAGCAGCCCAGTCTGTTTGCCTTGAGCCGCCCTACCTTCTACTCGATGTTCCGTTGTGAATGGTGAAAAACGTGCTTCCATGTGCGTTTGCCCGAGTAAAGAATGAAAAAAATGCTATCCAGCAGAATGAAGGGTTGGGGGCTTCTAATTTTTGATCGTTTTTTTGTGAGAGAGCAATAATAAATAGCTGTCTTCTTAGGGTGTAAGGTGTATGTACGCCCAAGCGTTATGCCAAAGTGAACTTTGCCAGTGACTTCTGCGTTTGTGTGTTGATTTGTCGGCCGGATCAGTGGAAGACCGCAGGGATCTAGTAGGAGATTCGGTGAGCTTGCATATCAAGGCATTTTCGTGCAAGGAGAGAACGGGAAGCTGCTTACTCTTGGTTCGACAACAACACTTTGGGTGCATCTTTAACTCATGTGATTCCGGAAGTCAGCCGGGGAAGTTATAGAGTGAGGGTTGGTTTCATAGCGGTGGAAGGGATTGCTTTGGTGTGCATTCTCTCGTGTCTCCTGGGTTGTGATTGCGTGAGGTGAGTAAGAGGGAGAGCAAGTTCTTTTGGGGTGCCGTGGCTCTCTCCTTGCAGGGCGCATTCTGCGGGTATCAATGGATATCATTACCACATGTGTCGGGGAGGTGTGTGGTAGGGCGATAGTGATTCATGAGCTACGCCATCGGCAGGGCGACGGGAAGGGGCTGGATTTCAGATACAGCAAGCGGGTGGCAACTTCCTCCGTATGTCATTACAGGGTAATGGCAAACGGGGCGTTGGTTCTGGAACTGTGTATAGGGTTGGGGTACTGTGAGGACCTATCATGCGAGGTTACTGTTTTTGTGACCAAAGCTTCAGAGGATGTTCCTAATGTGGCTCCACGTGGGGGGGTTGATGTACTTGAGGGGATGGCAAAGTTAGTAACCAGTGACTTGCTACAGGAGCATGCGGATCGACAAGTTGATTTCGTGGAGTGGGAGGCCATTCTTCAGGCACCTTTAGAGGAGAGAAGGGGTATGCGTGGCGTGTTACGTATTGCCGATAGTTATAATTGGTAGTGGCGGTAACGTACGCGCATTATGACCATTGGGTGTACGTTGGATATCCTAAGCACTTGAAAATTCAGCATTCAGATTATTAGCCAGCTTGGGAGTCTAGTTGTTCAGGGCGGTGGTGAGTATGAAAGGTTGGGTGTCTCCCGATAGTCGATGTTCAAGGCAGTGGGGACAGATTAGAACTACCTGTTGCAGTCAGTCAGTGTAAAGGATAAGTGGTTTTGGTCATAGAATGAAAGGTGGAGGGTCGTATATGTTTGTATTGGTCCGGTGCTGCCAGCTCAGCAGTGAACCTTTTTTTGTCGCATGATGTCCAGGTTTGGTTCTTGGCTTTACATCAGGAAGTCATGACGGAAGATTGTTCATGTGAAAAACGTTTTTTGGAGAAAGATTGGTGTGTGGGTGAATTCAATTCTACTTCTAATTGTTTTATAATGCCTTTCGTATTGATTGGTTTCAATTGTAGCATTCAATTCATTCGTTTTTCTAAAAGGCTTTTAAAGGTATGAATTGATAAAACATGCATACCTTTCATTAGTCCAACATTATATACCGACTTAATCCTAGCAGATTTTTTGCGTGCAGTATTAGGCGATTTTTTTTTTCTTCTATAACGTATCCAATTCATTACAAGGACAGAATCGAGGGCGGGGTATCTGACAGCATCAACCAGCTTAGCTTACAGGCTTTGCCTGCGGAACCCAGAACTACTGGAATTCCATGTTACAGAAACTAATTGTCAGCACAATTTTCGCTTGACTTTGGATAATGTTAAACTTGCTCACGCGTTCTACTAGGATTTAGCTCCTATTCCTGCAACTGTTTTACTCCCCATGCCTAACAGAACATAGCTATCTATTAACAGCAAAAGCTTACTACTCCTAAATAATGGTCTGGGACTAACACGGCCCAGAGGAAGACTTCCGGTTCCTAGTGACACTACCCTAAACAGCCCACCGCGGCCCTACTGAACCGAGTGTCCTGGTCCGTGGGTGGTCACTCTGCCTAACCTACAGCACCTCTGTGGGACTGAGTGCCCTGATCACTCAGAGGTCTTCTGTCACAGCAGAGGACTTGCCCCTTTAGTTCACTAACCACCTACTCCATGATCCATTTTGAAACTACTAACGATCGAACTGAGTGAACTGCAGCCCAGGTACGGAGGAACCAGGTTTTCTGTTTCCTGCTACCTTTCCATGCCTGGGTTTCCCTTCACCAATCTGCCCTGATGGTGTGTTTGAGACTGTCTTTGATTCTGCTCTTGATCTCTGCATCCGACAAGGCGCATTTTTCAAATCTCGCTCTGTCTCTATCTGCCCAGATGCACTCACAGATGATACCCTAGTTTAGACTGCCTCGTCAGCATTGAAGCACTAGTTTAACATTCGCCGTTTAATCATATCTTGGGTAGGTTCTGTGTTCTGTTGGTATATAATCATTTCATTGTGCAACATCTGGATGTGTCGGGTGTTTTCTTAAAAAAGTTTTTACATATAGGGAGACTTTCTTTTCATATTAGAAAGCTTGACACGATATCCCAGCTAACTTTTCTGCATGCATAAGGTGATACCCGAAGTGTACCAGAGCAATCAAGCATTTATCATCAGTTTCTTATGTCCGGTTTATTTTCTTAGATGGAACGTAAGATATGCAGCATAGCCCATCATAACTAAATGGGGCCTGTTGATGTCTACCCTCTTTCCGTTACGTTGGTAATTTTCACATTAGTTGTTGCCGGTCTGAGGACCTCTCGATATTGTCGTATGGCTAAATGGGGCCTGTTGATGTGGTACGTTCGTGGTAGGACTGCAATATATTTTCAGTGTTTGCATGGTCACTGCCACCTAGTTGGAGGACTGTACATAAACTCTAAAAGGGCAAGGGGAGGTATGGTGGATATTGATGGTTCGTTCCGGTGGTCTAGATGTAGGAGCAGGTACGACTGCTGGGCTGATGTCTGCATTTGCGAGAGCGTGAACCCGTTAACCTCTCTCTTCGAATTTGAGGAGGTCTGAGGTTTGTACGATATTAAATACTCTGTTTTGTGTTCATTGTCATTGACGAGGAAGAGGATGAGGAGGAGGACAGAGGAGAACTTATCGGTCAGCGGTATGCCAATCTGGTGAGCTGGACTACGGGATCTGCCTGCAGTGTGTGAACAAGCAAGTGTAAAGCACTGATTGTGCCGAAGGTGAGTTCATATGCCTACATTTTGGATTTCGTGCCTGACTCAGTCTCTCTCTCTCTCTCTCCCCCTGTCTGTCTCTCTCTCTTTCTCATTCATACAACTTGGAGGGTTGAAGGTAGGAAGAAGGAGATCGAAGGGGGAAAGGAGTTAGAGAGCTCGCCTTGTTTACCTGATTCATTGAAGTGGTAGGGACTAGGGGAAAAAGAGAGGGGAAAACGCGGAGGGAAATCGCTTCCCATTTCTGTCCTTACTTTACTAGTTCAAACGCTGTTCTCCTCAGGTATTGCCGACCGGTTCTCAAACTTCTTCATGGTATTGGCGACCGCTTGTCAGACTTCTTCATCTCATCACTTACCCTCGAAGCAATTTTTTATTATTATTATATTTTTTTTTCGTGACTTGTGAAAAGGCGAATGCCGTGAGATATCATTTTAACTGACCGGCCTCAGGCAATTCACAATGATTCGTTTGAGTTCATCTAGTTCAATCTGGATTCAAACTCAGGTCTGTATTTCAACAGTTCATGGTGCACCCATCAACTAATCTAGGCTCGTTGGTTCCAAGCTAGTTTTTATCTTTACAAATGTGGTGTTTGTTGGGCAGTCATCTCAAAAATTTCGTGCAATTGGCGGTAAACAGGTTGGCACAGCCCCTCGTTTGTTGTCCTCGTCTCCCTCTCTGCCTACGGTTTACCGCCCGGAGAGAGAGAGAGAGAGAGAGAGAGAGAGAGAGAGAGAGAGAGAGAGAGAGAGAGAGAGAGAGAGAGAGAGAGAGAGAATGCATGAACTTCAGTGGTTTTTTAATTTGTCTCCTCACCTCCTCCCTCCTCGTTCCTCCTCCTCCCTCCTCCCTCCTTCTCCCCCTCCAGGGTGGTAGTAATTTTAATTTGTAACATGTTTTTCGGAAAAGAATTTGTGCACTTTCCTTTGTGTGTTTGCACGTATCTGCTAAGCACTTCGAGTCTACGAATGTCTCAGGGCCTACTCATTTGAAGAACTGTGCTTCAACTTCTCTGTGCATGGCATTGCTGTCAGCTGCATCCACGCCGTGTTGGAAAGGCCGTCACATACATCGAGAGGAAGTCTGCAGTGTAAGTATGCCCTCATCTTCCTTGCTGTGATCTTTCACAATTTTCTGCCATGAATGGGCCACACTAATGTAGTTTTGGTCCTTTTTCATTTTTTTTATACGGTCACCTGAACTAAATTGGTTTTTTTCCCCCCCCATGCTTTGGGGTCGTTTTTTTGTTTAAAAACGGCGTCGGGGCTCATAAATCGTAGTCACATATATTTCACCGAAAAGGAAGCAGAGCGATCCTGTGTTCATGACCTTCACAGAGTTGCACCATGCACCCGTGAGCCAGCTGCACCTGTCATTGGTTTTCCTGCCCGCAGAAGCTGGTGCTGAAGTTGCGGTTCTGCCTGCTCCGAGTGCCCCGCAACACTACTGCAACTGCTGCAGATATTTTTTATTTTTATCGTTTTTTCTTTCTTCAGTTTTTAATTTGCGAAAACTACGGTGCAGGCAGGGTTTGAGTTTGAAAATGCAACAAGCTGGGTTTCAGGTCCCGTAGGGTCACGAGGGGGGGTGCTATGTTCAGGGGACTGCCCGAAGTGGATTTTCGAATTGTTTTTGTGACTGTGCCATACGTCACCCTTTTTCTTTTTTTTTTCAGGGGGTTACCTGGTGAAGTGCAGCATGGGCCACGTGCCAGAAGACACATGGCACTGCAGCTGGTGCTGTAGACACTGCAAACACCCGTGAGCAGCTTCAGCTGCTGCTGCAGCTCCTGGTAAAGCACCTCGTGCTCCAGATGGTGAGTAGCACTGGAGTTAGCACTAGACGATTAACCACCACAAGAGATAGTGTTAGTACTGAGGATGTAGGAGGATAGACTCGGCATAGTGGAGATTTGCTTCAGCGTTGGCCAGAGGAGGGGGTGATATCTAAGAGATTGTACAAGCAATAGCCAGACCTCACTCTCAAGGCAGTACCTCTCACCGATATGTATCAAAAAGGCATGGATCACCTCGACGTAAACTCGACCTTGGCCTTCTCTGTGTATGCAATAGCATGCATTGGCGTTACGCAGTGCTATTCTGCATATATTGCCTGTTGTAGCCGCCTCTATCTACATGTGATTGGTCCTAAAGGATAGGTAATAAGCCTTCATCTAAGCTTTTTTTTGTTGTTGTTTTTTTCGACATTTTTTTTTCTCGCTTTTCTGTTTGTGGTTTTCAAGAGAACAATACGTCAATGGGATTTGTACAATGAGAGGTCTGTAGGCAACTATGGCCACCCTGTTTCCGTTACGTTGGTAATTTTCACATTAGTTGTTGGCGGTCTGAGCACCTCTCAATATTGTCATATGGCGAAATGGGGCCTGTTGATGTGGTACGTTCGTAGTAGGACTGCAATATTCTTTGGTGTTTGCATGGTCGCTCCCGCCTATTTGGAGGGCTGTACAGAAACTCTGAAAGGGCAAGGGGAGGTATGGTGGATATTGATGGTTTGTTCCGGTGGTCTAGATGCAGGAGCAGATACGGGAAATGCTTTTCGGAAGGGCCCACGTGACAGAAGCTACATCCCGCAGCAGCAGCAGGTGCAGGTGCTGGGTTACTGGTGATCTGTTGTGTCAATTCTCTTAGAAACAGTCCCAAAGAGGGAAGCTGATGGTTGTAGGCTCTGAGTATTGGACGTACTGGTGCATGCTGTGCAGGGAAGGGCTGGTCGACAAAGACAAAAAAGTGCAGGAGCGACAAACTGCTTTTTTCATAGCCTTTTGGGAAGAGGCACCAAGAATCACTCGTAGCCACAACGAAAGAGTGATTGAGAACGACAAACCGTCAGGAAAAGCCCTACAGACAGAGTCTGTAAGTTCAGTTTCCTCCTTAATCCTCCATCCTCTTCCTTGTCCTTGCTCATCCTCCACTGCAGTTGGTGTGCACCCTTCTTTCATTGTTTTCTTCTTCGTTCTTTTCCTCCCTGTCTATCGCTCACACACACGCACACACACACACACACTCTGGGCCTCTATCTCATTGTCCCGTAAGTAATCCATGAGTCAAATACCCCTGGCGTGCCATTGGGTTGAGCTCCACTTTCTGTCTGGCCTTTCTGGCTCAGGCTGCTTGAATACCTTTGGTCACTTTGTAACCTCATGTTTCCAGATCTCACGGTCTATCCACGTGTGAAAAAAAATGGTGAGAGAGAGTACATGTGGGTTGTCTCTGACCCCTGCGTTCCTCAACTACCGCTAGATCGATGTGTGTCGAGTTCCACGGTTGTGTCTTCCGCAGAGATGGTCATTGCACCAAGGCCATTGTGCCCACATGAACAACACGTGTCGGCTGCGCTAGCCCCCTCCAGGCAGGACGTGCTCTTTTCCCACCGATGTTACATCATTCCTGGGTACCATGGGTATCTAGTGAATGCGGACATGAACATCGTCACTTTGGGCGCGTATGCGCACGACAAATCTCCGGCGATACGATATGACAAACCCCCTCTCAATCAGAAATCCCTCCTTTCAAATCGTTTGCATGTGCATGTGGTTTTTCATGTGCCCCACATGTGCTTCCCTATAGATAATCATGTGTTTAAGGGACTTTTCCTCTCATTTCCTCTTCTTCGTAGACAAGTCCTTGGTGTTGCTCAAGTGCATGTTTGTGTGAGTGTGTGTGTGTGTGTGTGTGTGTGTGTGTGTGTGTGTGAGAGAGAGAGAGAGAGAGAGAGAGAGAGAGAGAGAGAGAGAGAGAGA